TTATTTTAAAGACAATAACTATTTTGATTTAAGCTAAGATCTGAGCTAATAAAAGCTTGTGATTGGCTAATTAAATAAGAATAAATCAAATAAATAAATATGGACCATAGATAAATATAAATGCATGAATGTCATGATCAGATCAGTTAAGCTTGGAAAATGATCTTCTTCTTTATTTTAATAACTAAAACTTAATAGAATGGGATATTTTATAAGAACCGATGAAGTTTCTGAAATAACAAAAATTCTATTATTGCTAGTTTATTACTATAATGAGTTAATAAACATTCACATAATCATCCTCTTTGCATTTATTTTAACACAAATAACATTAGTGGAATTTATGTAATTTCAAAGATTTCAGAGGAATTTTTGTTATTCAATAAAATCTCAGGATATTTATTTTTCAATAGTTATGGTTTTGGACTCATATAACAGCTCATGACACGTGCCACGTGCTATTTTCCCATCCACCAATTTTGCTTACTTCTTAATACTTCATTATTGGGATTGCCCAACGCTATCCTTACATCATTCTAAACCTTTTTTATTTATTTTTTGGGTGATTAATGTACGAACTAGTTTATACGTACTTCAATTAATTCTTTAAATCCTGAAATTAAATTCTCCAGTGATCACCCTATTAACAATCGAGAGAAATCAAATTCAATATCTCTTAGATAATATATTTAGGGCTCCGTTTCGTTCATTATTCTGATAGTTTTTAGAATAATCTTTTGAAAAAAAGTTAAATTGGGCAGGTATTACGATGTAAAATTTGAAAATTAACAAAAATATCTTCTATATTTGTTTATTTACTAAACACCCCTATAATAAAATATTAAAAGTTAACAAAAACACCCCCAACCCACCCATTAAATACGAACAGCCGACCACCACCGTCGGAAGATAGCCAGAGTATTTTTACAATTTCTAAAAAAAATATTTGGGGGTATTTAGTTAAATTAATAAATTTAAGAGGTTTAAAAGAAATTAAAAAATATAGAATAATATTTTAAGAATAATGACATTTTACTGTTTAACTTTTTTTGAGAATACTAATAATAGTATTCCCAAAAACGAAATAAACAAAACCTAGAAGTCTCTATCGCCCCACTGGACCACCTAAGGGTGGTTTCTTTCAATATGTTTCGTTTTAGGTAATTTGTCCTTCACCTGCTTTCACATTTAGAATGTCAATTTTTTTCACGTTTAATGCGGTTTTAAATAAATAAGAGTCTCGTATGTATCATGAACTTCTAATCCACCATCTGTCACGTGAAAAATAAATATAAACCCAAATATGAGTAGAATATTCATAGTATTAACGTCTTACACGTAATGTAAGAACCCAAATGTAGTATTAAGTCTAATATTTCAATGGTAGAAATTCTATTAAAAGAGAATCTCACTTCCTATAAATGGTAGACGATACTAATGACTCTGCATTGTATGCATAATTTTATAAATTATACAAATCAAGCTAAGATTGACGAAATTCCTTATAATAAAGAACAAATTAGCTAGAACATGATAAGGTGGGGCATTGACAACCCACTAAGCTTTAATCAATCACAAAACCAACCCCACCAAACTTTACAACGAAATAATTTAATTAAAAATCAACCCATCTCATTGAATAGAGACAAAATACACAGAAAAATCAAGAACACTGACACAAAGTACTCAATCAAGAACCATAGATCTCGCTACATCTTCAACCTTCACCTCTTATCTCTCCATCTGCCCAAAAACCAAAAAACATAATGTTATCGAACCCATATGTTTACAGCATAGCCGTATAGTTGGTAACGTTATCAAGTCGATATAAAGAGAAAATAGAGAGAGGAGGGGGAGGGGAGATGCTTACAGAAAATGGAAGATGATCACTTGGTGATGGCATAAACAGCGTAGATAATTCCAGGGAGATAACCGAAGAGTGTGAGAATCAAACAGATCCAGAACTCAACCTGCGGAAACAAACACCCCGATATTTCAATATGCAAACTAGAATATAATTTATACAAATAATCGTTAAGCATATACGGAAATATGGTCGAACCTGGCAGCCAAATTTGAGGAAGACGCCGAGGGGGGGCAAGATGATGGCCAAAAGGATGTCTACGCAGGTCGCTGTGCTTTCATCAGACATTTTTGATGAAACGTTTCAAGTTATCGACGAGTAAATACGAAGAGTTTCTTTGAGAAGTATCTGACTGCTTCACTTAAATTATTTTGAGTCTCTGCAAGCGAAACTGCAAGAAGAGTTGAAGGTTATATATAGCGCCATGGTAGGGAACAGTGAAAGCTTTGGTGGTGGCCCCACTACACGTTTGGAAATTATGGTTTCTTTGGCAGTTCACATCCATAGGGGTGAAAATACAAATTTCTAAAGTTTGATTTTTTTATTACACCCCCTAGAGGTTTGATTAAATAACAAATTTATCTTAAAGCTTTTGAAATGATAAAAATCCTCTTGTTGTTACTTGTTAGTGAGTAGTTAGAAATTATACTATTATAAGTTGAGGAATATTTATGTGATTGTCCTTCAACCGTTTATCTTAAATACCAAAATATTTTCCTGATTTGACCTCTTTTGATTGGTTGTTATAGAATAAAAAAAAAATTACACAAATAAATATGAACCACAGATAAATATAATCACGTATCAGCTAAATTTAGTAGAAAATCTTTGTCTTTATTTTATAACTAAAATTTAACAATATGGGATATTTTATAAGATCCTATGAGATTTTTGAAATACCAAAAATACTACTATTGCTAATGGTTATTATGACCAGTTAATAAATATTCACAAAGTCATCCTTTTTGAGTTTATTTTAACATCAAAGGCTTAACTTTAGTGGAATTTATATAATTTCAAAGATTTGAGAGAATTTTTGTTATTTAATCAAATCTCAGGGTATGTTTGTTATTTAATAAATATGGTTTTGGAATCACATAGACAGCTCATGACAACGTGCCACGTGCTACTTTCCCATGTGCCGATTCTGCTTTCTTCTTAATACTTAATTATTAGGATTTCCCTACACTGTACGCTCCTCTGTCAATACCTTCGATATTAAGTAATTTGTCTCCACGCGCTTTCACATTTAAAAGTTCACATAAATAATTTTTTTTGTTTAATGACCATAGTTGTCCAGGTTAATTTATATTTATCTTGATTAATTGTCTAATCTCTTAAAATTAAAAATCATAAAACCCTTTATTAGCCAACTTTTTTAATAATCGAGTGAAATTAAATTGAATCGGCCCACCTAGACATCTAGAAATAGTTAATTTACATTAATAAATATTATCATATTACATGTGTATCTCTCATATATATCACGATCTTTTGATATACTATCTTACACACGTGAAAAATGAATCTAAACCAAATTAAGAGTAGAATCATAGTATTAATTTAACACGTCTTACACACGTAAGGTAAGAACCTTAACTGTGATATTAAGTCTAATATTTTCTGCGGTGGAAATTCATAAATTAGAAAGCAAAAATCAAGCCCATATGTAAGTGTCTTCCACAGCCAAAAGAGCGCGTCAAGGTAAAAAACCTGCCGACCAGCCTGTCAGGATCTGACGGCTCCTAGGTTGCCACATACACGGGAACAAAAGGCAGAGATCGAGGCTTACAGTACGATTAGCCAATCGAATTGATCCGCCTGTGTAACTGTTCACGTGATGTAACCGTCTTCTAATCCTAACGAACAAAAAAAATTAGAAGACGTAAACCGCCCTCTCACGTGCGTGATTACATTTGGCATAATTTTAATTAAAGTTAAAAATTTAATTTAATTTAATTAATTAATTAAAGAATGAAATTGAAATGGAATTTACAGTATCTTATGAGTTGTCGATGGAATATCTTTTGACAAAAGAATAAAGTTGTAAAAGGAGAAGCTTTTTGTTAAATCTTGATCTCCATTTGTCTATTCATATGTGACTTTATCACCTTTATATATTTTTTTAATATGCAAATATCTAATTTTATATAAAAATATTGTTTTTTTTTTTTTTTTTTTTTAACAAATGATATCCAAAATCCAATTTATATTTCAAATTAACATGTTTTCATTTTTAACTATTAAAAGTTGTATTTATTCCACATCGTCAATTTGATAGACTGTTATGTATAATTTCGTGATTGACTCTCTCCGACCTTAAACTATTTTTTGAAAATAAATTCTACTAAATATCAGTCATGATGTGGGAATTACGAGCAAATGAATCGAAAGAATTTATACTTAAACAAATTGCAAGCATCATAAAAGGAGACCGTGACGAATCTATATATGCAAAACTTTCTTGGAATGATCCCTAGAAGGGTATGAAAAATCCATCCTCAACCCCTTACTTGGAAAACCCCTAATTTCTTTTTTTTAAATATAATTATAATAATATTACCCAATTTCAAGAATGTTATATTTGTTACACAATAAATGATCTTGTTTCATGTTACAAAATTAATAATGGTGATGGGGAGTGATGAACACTTTTAATAATTGACTTGGTTCATGATGGAAACCAAAGGGCCAAAACATAGGAAGCCTACCTCATACTAACCCCCTATTTAGGCATGCTATTAACAAATAATTTAATAAAATATTAAGATAATCTTTCAATGATTAAACATTAAAAAAATAAATATGGAACGTTTATATTTTTACCCCTATTTAGTAATTATAACAGTGAATAGCATCGTAACTATAACAGTTTTGAGGTGGCGAAATTTCTTTTTTATAAGTTCAATCCCACACAAAAAACGTAATGATCTGAACACGATCTCAGTGATATAGATATGTCTATTTATATATATATCAAAGATATTTTCTCCCCTTGGGACAAATTTAAGAGAGTATAAATGTCATTTATTTTTTAAGGGTGTTTGGTCTTTTATATATACTTAAACCGTTACTTATTCCATTGTCTAAAAGTCAATGATACATAAACACTTTGGAATATAACATCCTATTTTATCAATTCGACCGACAAGTCCAGTATAGGTGATATTGTCCATAACCCATTAAATAGGGGTAAAAGAGTAAATTCATTTTCCTTGGAGTTAATGACCGACACTTCTAATAAAATTCTCCGTGTAGAGAGATTGCGTAACGGGCAAGCTGAAGCTTATTTTAAGCGGAACCTTATGTTATAATGTCTGATGACCCGATCTACCACATGCTTTCAATAAAATTGTTAAATTATTAACTCTTGAAATTCTTTTGGATGACATCATTTATTTATTTTTTATTTATATTAATTCAATAAGTCATAATGTTATCTATTCATATTATGTCATAATTAAATCATATTTATTAAAGATACGCCTCGAATTCAAAACATAGTTAATAAATTTGCAAATAAAACATGAATTAGACACCCAGTATAATTTGCGTACATTTACGAATTTTCGTATTTTATCAGCACATCTATATTATTCACAACTATATATCTTAGATGTTTTATTCATAAATATTCGTATTACTGTTTTATTTTATTATTATTTGTCATATTTTATCAACACATCTGTATATTTTACGAACATATGCCTCAGACGTTTTATTCGTAATTATTTTGTATTATTGCCGTATTTTATAGTATTATTAACGGATTATTCATATTATTACCGTATTTTATCAATACATCCGTATTATTCGCGAACTATATCCTCAGCCATTTTATTCGTGAATATTTGTATTATTGTCGTATTTTATCAGTATCATTCACGAATTATTCGTATTATTACTATATTTTATCCGCACATCCGTATTATTAGTGAATTAATTATTTTGTATTTGAAATGCTATATTGATTTCAATCAGGTAATCTATGAAAAGTGATAAAATCAGATTGATATGTCATATTTTTCAAAACGTACTATTGACAATGTGTCATATTAAACTTTAATACATGTACCGTATTTTTTTTGTATCCTAATTTTATTGCCAAATTTTTACAAATGTATTTTCAACATTATCGTATCATACTTATAAAATTATGTACTTTTTTTTACCGTACTCGTATTTATTAACTAGGATTCATAGGATAATATATAATTCAATAAACTTTAATTTTTAAAACCATTTTCATTTTCAAAAAAATAAAAATAATTATAGGTATTTATTTTCTTTCATGGTTGCATTTGTTACTATTATCTTTAGAACAAATGTCAAACCATTTAAAGTAACAAAGATAAAGTAACCGAAAGAGTACTAGACAAAGGAAATACCTTCAAATCTTTAAGAACATCTTTAAATTCTTTGGTTTTCTCTTTTTTTTTTTTTTCTTTTCTGTTTTTTTAATCTCAAAACCTGTTGAAGTTTAAATCCAATTTATTTTAAAATAGTCCAATAAAATTAAATAACAAAAAATAATTCTTTCGTTAATTAGATTTGTTTTCAGACTTCACGCAAACACTCTTACTTAGTGAATAATATTACACAACAACAACATTTCTCACACCTTTCTCTCATAACCCTGACGTGTCAGTTTGCAATTGGTCAATTCACAATTAATTATGGGATCCATGCGAGACCCGTTGTGAACTGACAATTACGAACTTCACATCAAGTTATAGAAAAATTTTGTGAGAAAGGGTTGTTGGTGTAGTATTATTTTGTGACTGACACATCAGTTTATGTGAGAAATTTTGTGAGAAAGGGTTAGTTGTGTAGTATTGTTCTACTCATGTAAGAGGAGGCTCCACAAGTCTCCTTTTGTGATGTCCACCAAATTAAGAGGTTTATTGGACCAATCCATGGTAGGAGGCTTGGATAAAAAAGTATCTAGAGAATATGAAAGCTTCCAAAATGCTCTAGAATATTCCTCCCCCAATAGGTATACAATAATTATTATTCTTATTTTATATGATTAATCTTGGTCATCCAATTTATTGGATTTGTGTGATATGGACTGTTAGATCTAGTTGTAAAATCTTATAAAACGCTTGTTAGGTTTAGTATAATCATCCATGCATTGTATTATTTTTGAGAATATATACAAGAGAGTTTTCTCCATCTCTCCATGCATGTATTATTTTGAGAGCATATAACTGAACTCAGGCTCGATTCGCTAACTACGGGGATTGTACAAAAATGATAAACAAATAGGTCTATATTCACTTAAAACTTAATCTTTCAAACTTTTTTTCACAAATCCGACGTGACAGTTCACTGATGTCACGTCATAATGTGAGAGAAATTTATAAGATTGGTTATGTCTATCTTTATTGAAGCAAATAAG